CCCGCCCCCCTCCACCCCACCCCTTTTTCTGTCTGCTGATGCCAATAGCAACGTAGGCTGTTCTAGGCCCAAGTCCACCACAGTGATGGCATATTGATACTGTCATAAAACATTACATTCTTGCTTTATTCATTAGAACTGCGCTTTAATCTAAAAATATCATGGGCAGAGAATAAAACAGAGTTTTCAACAGCAGAAAGATTAGGCCTGCACTTCTCTCGCTGAGCACCACAACTCGGAAACGCTGAGGCCCAAAATAGATGTTCCTCTCATAAAGGGCTCCTTCTTTGTAGTCGACATACAGCAACAACATCTGCAGGGCAGTTTCTATGGGGGGAACAGATTCGGGCAGGCTATCAAAGAGAGGCGATCTCCTGTGAGAAGTGGTGGGTGGAGGACTTCCATATTCTCCCTCTCTCTCTGTCTCTCTCCTTCTTTTTTTGTTCTCCTCCCTCGCTCTTTTTATCTTGCGCTTCCAAAAAATCTGTAGCAATCAGGACGATGCTAATAAAAGACCATTAATATCACCTGTCAGTGCTATCTTTGGAAGATCCAAAACGAGAAAATGAGACAAAAGGATTCAGTCTGGAGCTGCTCAACAAGATGTGGGATACCAGTGGAGGACAAACGTCTGCAGCGCTTGAGCAGTGAGCTGACAGGAAACCATCAAGAAAACAAGAAGGATGATGAATATTCCTATGTATCGTAACTAAAAGGAAAAACGTAGTTTAAAGTGATGCTTGAGAACTGTGTAATTTCAGTATAAATATCAGCATATTTTATATAAGGGGTTGTGTTTCAATATGGGCTGTGCATAATGCTGTCATGACCTTAAGTTCACATGGTTTTAGATAAAATAAAAACAAGAAAAAAAATGTATTAAATGTTGTTCTTCTGGTAAAAATAACCCAACATAGGTTTAATTCAGAGCTGATGCAGATGCAGTTCAAACCAAGAGAGTGATTGTAAAGGTCGTAAAATCCTGCAGGTTGTTTGACTGATGGTTTTCACCGACTGCGATGGCAAGGCGTTCACTATCTGTTTAATGTAAAACATGAGCAAAGCCAGCAGACGGGCTGAGGCTCTGAGCGGAAAAAGATGGCACCGTAATGGGGAGGTGAAAGGCAAGGGGCAAAGCGATGATAGTAGCTTCATGCAGAGCAGAAGTGTATCTGGGGCCTCGCCTTTGAACTGGTGAGCCGGCTAATTGAAACAGCATTGCCAGGGCATCGGCTGAAGATCTGGATCTCATTCACCCCCGCTTTTATTCAATTTGGTTTCATCACAGGGGCGCGTCTCGTGCTTTTTCTCTCCACATGGCAATAAGTCATACCCTCGCCTTTTGCCCTCGACGTGTTGCCCATCTGTGTCCCCTGGGGGCCCAGAGTGCTGAGGCCCTGAGAACGCCAAGGGATTCAGATGAGGTCTTGAGAAAGCCCCTTATGGTACTTTTTCACGCCTCTCACCTTGGACTTGACCCCCACCCCACATCCCCACAGCTCTTCACTCACTCGTACACAGACACACACACACCTCTTTACCCCCCAGACTTAAGATTTACTGGTAAGAGCAGTGGTTGTCAGGAGGTTTGGACCGTGCACTTTCTAATTCAAACAAATGCGGCACTGAGGTCACGCTATTATCATGGAGCCACAAGGTGTTTCAGATGCCTCGCAAGTGTTGAGTGCTGAGCTGATAGAGAGAGAGA